ACACGCATTTTGATCAACTGTGGGAAGGATTGAGAAATATCTGGTTCTGTGGCTTACCTGCTGTCTGTCAAAGACCGTAATGATTCGCCGAACGCATTTTAGGAACATCAGGGAGAAGAAGTGACGTCTACATTCGTTCGCCTCTTTCTACATTTTTAATGCTTTTAACTTGCACATGACTATAATTACATTGAAACTGATCAGAGCCTTCATTGCATATTGATAAAATCAGTCAAAAAATCAGTAGCAAAAATTTCATTAAATGTTTTGCATGCTTTAACGAGAGTTAAAACACTGGACTTCTAAATTACTATCACGTGAGAATTTGAAAGTAATCACTTCCTACAAGTTGTGCACTCCTTCCTTGCATCACCTCTTACATGAAAAGATAAACCTTGAAAATGTATGCTACGATGTACAATTTGCTGTATTTTCTTATTCTTATTTTTTCTTAACCTTTTGGAGTAAACCTGGCGTTAATTACTGACCATACCTTTTGTTCTGTTAGCACATGCATTTCTCTGGTTGTGTCGTTTATTTTGATATCTGTCAGTACTGGACAGGAATCTAAAGGCACTCTTTCATACAACCTCGCTGTAGTATTATTTTCGATGTGACCCTGAATCATGCAAAAATGCGTGTAAAATGACAACGGTTGGTGATATCTAAACATCTTTGCAGATCTTTTGCTGGATTTTCCACCTGAGGAAATATGGAATTAATGGAATTCTATCGTCTTCTTTTTGCGCTACGTACAGCGTCTATAGCGCCAATAGTTAAAGGAACCTGAAAACACAGCTATCAAAAAGTGGAAAAATTTAATATGAGCAGAATGCCGATCACAAATCGCATTCAACTTATAAACAAATAGGTATATATATGTGTGTGTAAAAGAGAGAAAGTACTGGTCTACCTTTTTAAAACATCTAATTAAAAAAAATACGGGTCAATCCTCCATGAGATTAAACAATTTATTTGGTCTCCTATTTATACCTCTTCTGTTGGTAACCTGTAAAGTTCCCTTAGTTCTGGAGAACAGAATGGAACACCGCGGTGCAATTTAAGACTGATAATTAAATGTAGCCTTTTTGAACATTATTTACTTTCAGGAGATCTCCTTTTGATGTTCCAATGAATGCCACAGTATGGATGAATTCAGTGCTGGTAATAATAGATGACATCAGGGTACCTGAGGAAAAATAGTATTCGTTGGTTTCATGCATCAAGTACTTCACCAAGTTTTGACGCAGGTAGTAAAAAACGGGCCTAAATGCATATACCCGAGGATTTCCTTGAACTTATAAATTCTGGAAAACAGAGAGACCGCATTCGTTATGAAACCCAAGTTAGAAGTATTGAACTAAAAATTCAAAGCATAAATAAAAAACTTTTCAAACTTTGTTTAGAAAGAAACAGAAACAACAAATACTGTAAGTGATTCTTCCTAAACTCAGGAGTCTTGGAGGGTAACGTTAACGGATAAAAACTGCGGGTACCAGAAAAAATTAAAGCAACCTGATTTGACTATTGAAAACTAATGCATTCTGATTAACTGAAATATTCTTTCTTCGTGTTCTTTGGTCAAACTTTAGGCATTTTCTATTTTTATTTGGATGGTTTGTTGGTTTAGGGAGGAAAACTAAAGCCGAATTTCCTTTGATTCGCGACCCTCGTCAAAGGAAGTCTGAAGTTCAGATCCAGTTCCCGTAAATTTCTTCGCCCAAATTTATAATTTATACGAAATATAATCAGTATAAAAAAGTTACCAGACACTTCCAGCAAGGCTGTAGATGAGACAGGAGCGATCCCTTTGGCATACCTATACAGCACAGTTGCACCATCAGCTGGCTGGCATAAAAACCTGTCGGGCTGAACTCCCTGTTTGAACAACCAAATCCATTTTCTTGTTAACTTGCGTAAAGCAGATTTGATACACCGGGTATCCAATTTTTCCTAATTAATACGTAATTAAAAATTTTTTTCGGCCAAATGCAAAAACCTCCTGTTAATTTGTTCCTCTGTAGATTTTGAACAGCCTAGTTTAGTCACCTTTAACATGGGGACTTCCCCTGAGCAGCGTAATTCTTTTCCAGAGCCCGCCTCCAGCCAAGTCCTACGGGGATTGTATGTAAATATCTAAGCCACGTGCTGATAAGGGATTATTGACAAAGAAAGTGCCTGGGCAAGCCTGGGAAAGCCTGGGCCTGTCTTATATCAATGGTCGGTCTCTCTTATGTGTCTCTGAGCTGTAGACAGCTGTCTGAGTAGTTTCATTGTGTTGGGGTGTCAAATTTTTGTGGTTATAACGGAAGTGATCTCAAAAAGATCATCTTGGTGCAAGGAGCGTAAAAAGTAGGCTCTGTGCAGTGAATTATATACCACGTCCCCTACAGCTTCTTTCAGTAGACTAATGGTCAGTTTGGAAACTGGACCGAAAGATTTGTGTTTGGATGGTTTTACTCAAAAGCATCAGACTCAATGCAAGAGTCCAATGGCCTTAGGCAAACACTGAGGAGTAATCGAGCATTTTCGGAATGCAATGTTGTTCTTCTGATTGTCATCGAGCACTTTGAAGTGCCAGAATTGTGTCCTTCCTCCATTCGGACTTGATATTTGATTCATGTCAGGGATAGTTTCAAATACATATATATCTTGCACAATCTCATCAACTTACTCCATACATGTTGCAGAAAGATCCAACTCTATCAGACAAATACTGCACACGGTATGCATTCCCATCCTGAATACAGCCCCGTACTGCTTTTCTGAAGCCAGCCAGGATATCAGCCAACCTGTACACACACAATGCTGAGTGATCGGTTGGTACATCACTGGTACCCGGCGCTCCTTGGTTCTTGGCAAACACAGCATACAGCACCTGCTCGTCTGCATGGAGACCCAATGATGCGGCTAGATCGGGTCCTGCTGGTCCAAAGTGAGCTGCTTGCACCAAGCTGTACACACTGCCATCTGATCCACTGCACTGAATGGTGATTTCAGTGTATGCATCCAGATTTGAGCCTGTTTGACAGACCCGATTAATCTTTGAAACATGATAAGCAGAATTCAGATCCTCTCTCTGAGTTGCAATGAAATATGTGAATCCGCTGTATTCAAACACTGAAACATATTTTATGGTGAAACGTTGGGATTTAGCACTGACAGTAAAAAAAATCGTATCATAATCATCTCTTATTGCTAAAATGGGGCTACTTTTGAGGTTCCTTCTCGTAATTGCCGAAAAACTCCCTCGATTATCAACATTTTCACCTGTATAAGTAACCCCAACATAAAGTTTTTCTCCCTCACTCCTCGGAGCAATCAAACTAACAGTTGTTGCATCCTCAAATCCTGCAACGTCAGGAACTGATTCGCTCAGTATATTGTTAATATCCAGTAATTGTCGTAACTGACATCTACCATCAAACACACCACCGCACGTTATCAGACTGTTCAGCCGAGTACTGTCAACCACCAGTATCTTGTTGTAGTTATTTGTTTGACGACACGGCATCCCATTGTAAGGCATACTGTCATCACACGTTGAAGCATTCTGTATCTGTTCCAACCTACTATTCAACCTGTACAACCAATTGACAGCTCCAACATAGACATCACCATGATCACTCAAGGTAAAATGGTTCAGTGTTTGGGCCCGGGGTAAATCTTCTTGATCAGGATTATTGAAGGTGGCTAACTCATAGTCTGACAGATCTCCTTGCCACTCTGCTGATGCCATGCAAACATCCACACAGATGATACTCAAAGACAGACCAGCTACGCCCAAGGCCCTGTGTTTTCTGAGGAACTCCATAATGGCTTACACAGAAAGTCTGTAAAAAGAGATAGCGGAAAACAACTTGCTGTCATTTGTGACCAAATTTATCGCAAAGCCAGCAATAATATTCATATGCTTAAATTGCTAAAGAAAATCCGCTCATCTCTTTATGACTTATTAACTGTGTATAAGGGATGTATACACCACTGATGGAATATCCAACGACCGTTAATAATGCTCGTTTAACTAGCACACAAATCAACAAATTAGAGAGTACTCAAAAGCATGCCCTTAAAATTATCTTGGGCTAAGGTTATTTAGATTACAAACATGCCCTTCTGAAGTGTAATTTAGTCTCTCTCCATGACCATGACTTTGGGACATAATTATCGGTCGGCTACTGTTTGCGTCACACTTGAGGTTATGCACGCATGCTCAGATTGACTGGTCACGTTGGATCAGTGTATATGCTCCCACAAAGACCCTCAAAAGTGTCCCATTAAAAAGGCAGAAAAATGACCTCCTATACGGTGTTCTGATGGTGCCATCTGACTTTTTTTGTTTAGACATAATTGTT